CCCCCCCCGCCTTCTGTCTTGCTGGCTTTTCCAACCCCTCTGCCTCCGAGGTCTCTGGCCTTAGAAGGAGGCGACCGTGGAACTGTGTGGGCAAACACTGCGGGCAGAGCCAGCCTGGAGCGAGGTGTCCCTGTGGCTCCCCAGGACGGTGCGTGTGCCACCCAGGCGCGGGGGTCACAGAGGGAGGTGCCCTCGCTGAACTGAAGCACGAAGCCTCTCGCTTTCCCTTTCTCCTGCTGTGACATTTTCATTTCGGGATAGAAAGAGGCCTCTGGTTCTGCAGCTCCCTCGCTGTGCCTTGCTATCCAGGAGGCACCGGGCTCGGCTGCTCCCTGGTTCCAAGCCATGGCACGTTTGTTCTGCCAAAGCCATTTATAACTCCCTGTCCCTGTGACATACGGGCACCTTGGCTCCCCGGAAGAGCTTGGCTCCGGGGAGGGCACGGCGGAGCCACTTTTCATCCCAAACATCAGCTTCAGCAGGGGCTGGGGACTCGTTCCAGAGGGAGAGCAGAGGGCACAGCCCCCCCTGCCTGGCTCGGGGCGCTGGCTGACCAGCAAACGCTGACTTGGCTTAACTGGACAATGGGTGAGCCCCGGGCAGCTGCTGCGTGGGCCCCAAAGGCTGCTGAGAACCCCCAGGCTGCCCCACCACCCCAGGGACCACCTCTCCCCCCCTGCCCCAGCTCCCCAGCATCGCTGGGTCAGATCGTGCAAAGAGAAACAGGTTAATGGCTTCATTTATAAAGGGGGGGGAGAACAGCTGAATGCCAGCAAAACTTGCCTCCCAGTGACTTGTTTCTAGCTGGAAATGGAGAGACCCCCCCACACTAGCTGTGCTGCAACGTTGACAAAACGCTGACGAGCGCGGGGAGGGAGGGCAGCCTGGCAGGTCTGCTCCATCTTCTGCCTTTGAAAAGAGAAGGGCAACAAATACAATCTCTGCAGGAATTATTAAATTCTCCCTGAGCCGGTAGCTCTGTCAGCCGTCCTTCAAAGGAACTGGAAGATGAAAGGGGTGTGTTTGAGGGCATGCACCACTTTGATCCCACCCCGGAGCAGCCAACACCCCAGCACTCAGCAAACCTGCCAATTTAGCGCTCGCAAAACAGCTTCTGTTCAGGTAAACACTGAATTCAGCTTTAATCAGCCTTGCAAAATGGCCATGAAAGTGTATCCACCCACATGTACAATATACTCACCTGTTGCCTCCCCAGAGGACTGATGGCAACGGCAGAGCCTGTTTCGTTCTCCCACTGACCTTGACAAAATCCCATTGTCCAGCAGAAGAATGTGTGGAGTTGGTTTAAATGTCCCTGTTGTTCTACCTGAGCACAGGTGTGTGGCTGTGTCTGGGCAGAACACTGATAAAATACCCCCCACCAGGGGTACCAGTGCAGATCTGCTAGTGCAGGATCTGAGGTCTGCTTGAGCAAACTGGTTTTCCTGCCTTCCCCCTCTCTGGTTCCTGACATCCAACACACCTCCTCTGTGATGGTATCATCTTTTCAACCTTTAGTCCCTTTTCTCCAAAGAACATTACCTAGGCAGACTTCTCCCCCCATCCATGGCCCTATTCTTTGCAGGTCAAGCACAGGTCTGCTTGATCAGAGCTGAAATGTAGTTAGTTTGGGTTTTCTTTTCCCATGCAAAGGCCCTGAAAGGAAGCCCTAGGGCTGCAGGGATGTGTGGTAGTTCAGCAGCTGGATCCCTTCCTTGGAAAGTGAATGCTGGTCATGTACACAGGGTAAGATTTGGGAGTCCTGGTTCCCAGGAGGCCTGTGACACTTTTGGAAGAGCAGTGATGCCAACCCCTGGCTGAAATCCCACGTGTTACCTGGAACTACTTTCCATAGGGCCAGCTGATCAAACATACCCATTTTCTTACTTGGTGTCCATCTCCCAGGTAGCTGAAAACCTTCCCATGTTAAGGAGGCAATTCCTGCAGCTCATCTAAAACCTTGTACTTTCAGATGAGCAAGTTATTCCCATCCAGGCAAAATGCTACATGACACACAAGAAATCAAAGCTCAGTTTCATTTGTGCCTCTTTGATACACTGGCACACTATAAACATGTAGATCTTCAGGAGGCTGGAGCTCCTGTACATCGCTGGACAGACTTCACAAACAGACCTGGGAGCGTTGAGCAGAGTCAAAGACTTTAGCATCTGAGGTTTTACTCTTTGCCTTCAAGCTCTGTGCTTCTCACTGCATGCTTGATCAACTGAGGAAGGACTGTGTTAGACAGGACCCCTTCATCCCCTCCTCCTGGCCTCTGCTGCTCCTCTTTTTTCTCTGGTGACCTTGTTAGGACCAGACAAAAGCCAACTTGATGTCTCCAGAAGGAGCCCCAGTCTCACTTCATCTTTTCCTGCTCTCTGTGTGAGCAGAAGAGAGGGAGCATGAGATCTCTGCAGTGTGCAGATCCCATGCTCATAAGGAGAGCACAAAAGTGCTGTTTAAAAATAAACGTGTAGTGCCTTGGAGATCTCAGCCTGGTCACCTTGGTCTTCATGCAAACACTGGGCAGAGTCTGGACAACATGGATCAGCTTGCTGCTGCTGATACCCATCTGCAGTAGTTTTCACTAGACACTGCTTGTCACTAGAGTTTAAGAAATCCAATTTGTTATCCCTGTGGTAACCAAGGTGCTCTCGGAATGTAAATGGAGGGGAACTGATGTGCCTGAGAATACCTGAGCCAACAGCAGGGAGAGGTGTCATTTCCTGCATGCAGCTAAGCTGAGTGTTAACTCTGAAGCCTACTGACAGCTATCACAGTGAGACATCAGCTTTTTGCTCATTGCTGAACAACAACTGTAGAAGAATAGGTCAGTTCTATGAGGAAAAATTGCTTCCAAGACACAATATTCTTTTTAATGGAGAACCAAGGAGAGAAATGGTGGGGAAGGTCTCTTCCACTTCCCACCCTGTCCAAGCAGAAGGAACAGGTTTCATCCCACTGGTGTGATGACTGAGGAGATCTTTGCTCCTCCTGTTTTTAGGATGCTGCTGTGGATGATGCAGTGTTGAGGAAGAAAGAGCAGAAAGATGTTGAACTCGATAAGAAAATCCTGGCTTTGCGGAAGAAGAACGAGGCGCTCATCAGAAGGTACCAGGTGAGTCTGCAGGGTCTGGCCTTCCCCAGCTCCCTCTGGGAGTCTGAAACAATGTGAAGAAGTTGGCCAGCAGTGTTTGGGTGACCTTTTCGTTGGTGCCATTTTTGCACGGGGAAGCCCTCGGAGCAGGTGGGCAGAGCTCTGCCTTTAGCTCCAGCCCCTGGATTGGAGTGGCAAGCAGGCTGGCTGATGCTTGCCTGGCTGCTGCAGCATCTCCTCTCACCCTGCTGTTTTCCTCTCTCTGCATCACACCTTTCCCATGACTTCATACTGGCCCCAGAATAGCCAAGGGACCATGGGTCTTGTGCACATCCTCCCCTTTCTGCAGGCCTGGTGTGTCTTCCAGCCTCTTCACATGTCCTATATCCAATATTTCACAAAACTCAGACTGATCATCTTCCCTGCCTGACAGGAGGGGGACCCCTGTCCTCTGTTCTTGCTTCCCACTCCGTGTGTGCTGAGACCAGAGCCCACAAAAGACTCTTGTGTCCACAAGAGGTTTACTAAGGTGCCTGTGGCAGAGGGACAGTTAATGCAGGTCACAGCAAGGGTACATGGATGGGACACAAGTTCTTGGAGAAGGGGTGGGTCCATTTAGGAGAAATCCTAAACAGGAAAATGGGCATCTGTAGACATCCAGGCACAGGCAGATGATAAGAATCTATCCACGTTTCAGGAAATAGAAGAGGACAAGAAGCGAGCTGAGCAGGAGGGGATGGCAGTTACCTCCAGGAGACCCAAGCAGGATGGACTCACTATTACCATCACCAAGGCTCACAATGTAAGTGCTGCCTCTCCTTCAGCAGGGCCAGCTCCCACTCCAGTCCTACCTCAGCAAAGTGACATTTCTGAACGAGAAAGCCTCCACAGCAAAGCTTTTCCAGGCACAGGCCATGGCTCCAAAGCCCTCACAAAAGGATGTGAAAACTCTGCAGGGTTGTGTTGTGTGCTCAAAGTAATTTTACCTGTTCAGCATGAATCTCCAGCCATGCCCAGGAACCTCTGCCCAAACACACAGAATTAACAGGCAAATGGATGAATGTGTGAACAGTTATGCTTGGTCCTGGCTGGGTCCCAGGAGTCAACATTGCAGCAAATGTGTAGGCAGAACCTCCCAGGTGTGTGTGTGTCACCAGGGGCATCAGGAACACCTCTCAGGGTGCCTGTAGGCTGGGCAGTGTCATGATCTCCTCAGGCTTTGTGAGTGAGCAAAACAAGGACCTCTTGGTTGCTCTGGAGCTCCCCACAACTGGGGCAGAGGTTGCAAGTCCCAGACTTCCTTCCCAACTGGACCAAATCTGTGTCTGATAAGCCCTGTCCACCCCTCCTGGAAGTGTGGGGCTTGGTAACCCCCAGCCAGTCCTGCTGTGACCCTGACTGAAGAGGTCTGCTGGAGCTGGGTGGTGCTGAGCCAGCCCAGCCTCCCCCTGCACAGGCTGCAGCACTGGGCTGTTAGAGCCAGCCTGGTGCATCCCTCACTTCCCCAGCTCGCCCGGCCCTCGCTGTACTCTGGAGGTGCTCTGTTGCACACATTTTTCTCTCATACAGGACCTGAAAGATGCAATTACCCAGACTGAACACTATGGACAAGATAGCCCAGCCCTCTCGATGGTGAGCACCACCCTCAGGAGCCATCCACTTGGCCTCCAAGGCCATCTCCTTCAGGACTTAGGCTTTCCCGAGCTAACTCAGAGTGCTGCAGAAAGAGGATGACATTTGTTTCCTATAACTCTGGCATTTTAGGCTGAAATGTCAGATTTGTAAGTGCAAAGGATTTTCCAGACCCGCTCTAGTTGTGGGTTTTGCTGCTGAGCAGACAAGGAGCCCCTTGTTCCCTAGGAATGTCACAGCTCCATGCTGGGCACAGAAGGCTTCCCCAGGGCAAGGCCTGCCTTCTCTGTAGCTGGCCTCCCTGCTGGCCTGCAGGTGTGTTGGGGAAGGGAATCCCACTGGTGAGCCCAGGGGCCTGGATTTGCTAACAAAAGTGTTTCATTTTCCAGGACAAAAGGGTGGTGAGTGAGAAATGGGTGAGCCCCTGTCCTACGAGCCCTGGGTTTGCCATTGGCAGTGAGGAAGAAGAGGAGGAGGAGGAAGCAGATCATATGTTCACATTCAGGATGGGGAAGAGGATGCAGCTGGCTGTTACCATGGACAACAAAGCCAAGGTGAGTAGGGAAGGGGATTCCTCTTACACTGCAGTCTCCTGACTTACAAAGGGGCTTCTGTTCCACCTCTCACTTCAGCTTCCTGCTCAGTGTGTCCCCTGGTGTCTTGTCTCCCAAGGGAATCGTTCCCTTCCTGCTCCTTTTCTTATTTCTCAGTCCTTCAGCACAGCCTCAGTCTTCATCTCAAGGTGCCACACACTTTTCTTCCCATGCCTGATTCACAGGGATCACCCCTCAGGCCTAGCTAAGCCTCCCAGTGGCTCCATCCAGCCGAGTGGCCAGTTCCCTTTCTGTGCCATGAGTCACCTTGTTGTCTTCCTGGGCCACCAGCAGGTTTGTTGGAAAGGGGATGGAAATAAATGGGAGCTCAGACAGGTTTATGTCCCAGCTGTTCCCCAGGGAGGCGGTGGTGTTTGGTGGTAAAACCAGCATCATTTCTCCCTGGTACTGTATTCCAGAAATTCCTAAATGCCGAAGGAAAAACAGAGTGACATGAGTATCTGCTGCAGCTTCCAATGTGATGGGCAGAAAATGTGACCTAGTGTTTGCAGACTTAATTAAGAACTGTGTGAAAAGGCAAAAGTAATTGAAAACGCCACTGCGTTCTTTGAATCCCCAGCCACCCCCTCCTGGGCTCTGCCCCATCCCTGCTGGAATCTGTGCCTCTGGGTGCAAGGATCCTGGTGGCAGCTTTGGCATCTCAGGGCTGATTTGCCAGGAAGGGTTTGATAAAGCTTTGGCAGCTGGTCCTGGCAGCATGGCTGAGGAAGTACGTGCCTGGATGAGCTTCATGCTCTCGTTTTCTTCACTTGGAGTGTGTCTCAGGGGGCTGATCTTGTTCTCAGTGGAGTGAGTGAGTTTGGCCAGTGAGGAGCCAGGATCAGAAGTGTCACCTGCTTTGGAAAAATGTATCTGCATGCACAGACACACCTGCACTGGAAGTGAAGGGAGCTCTCCTGTTAGTGAGTCTCTGGAGGCAGGTTATTGCTGCAGGTGATGTTTCTTGCTGCTCCAAAAGAATACAAGAGCCAATCACCTCTTCATTGATTAAGACTAAAGAGACACTGGTGAGACAACGGGAGTCACAACACCCAGGTGAGCACAGCCCCTCTGTGCTGACCACTGGGGTGTGAAGGAGACAGAAAGCCTCAGCTGGCCCTGAGACACGGGGCTGGACAAGGACAGCTCCTCCCTCTCGGCAGAGCTGGGAAAAGGAAAGAGTGGCACTAAATGATGCTCCCCCAGGTCCTCTCTTAGGCACAGCAAGGGGTTTGGTCCACGAGTCAAGAGCAGGCTTTTTTGTACTGAGGTCCAAGCCAAAGACATTCCCCAGGGTAATGGAATGAAACTCCACCCTTCCTGCTACCCTGGTGCTTTGGGGTAGGAGTGCTGAAAGCCTTGGCTGTAAACAAAGGGCAGAGAGCCATTCCTCCCTCTGAGGCAGCTTGGAAATATTTTTCTGGTTTTGTGCCTCGAATACCTTTTCATTTCTGCTTCTCCATGACCTAGTTACCCTTTCTTTCCATGAAGAAATAGGCCACAGTCACTGTGCCATTATAAAGTCATTATATGTTATCTTCAAGGAACTGAATAATTTAGGAAATAATGCACCTTTCAGTGATAGTTCAGGAGAAAGGGACTGAGGCCTGTCATTTCCCTGATAGATTATCCTGATAGATTACCAGGAGCACAAACATCCCCTTCAGATGAAGTCTCATTCCAGCACAATCAAACCACCTCCTGATGCGCAGGGGAAAATGCTGCTTTTTCTTAGAATAGAGTACATAGAAATCTAACCACCCTCATCACTGCCTGACCCTTACCAATGAGATACTTAAGGGTCTCCTCCAAGGTCTCTCCTGGCGCTGCAGCTCTGCATGGGGTGTCCTATTTGAAGCAATGGCATTTGCAGAGGGAGAGGCTCTTGAAGACAGGCTGTGACCCCTGGAGCTTTTCCATAACCTATAGCTCAGAATTCAAGTCCCTAGGTAGGGATTTGTCTTAGCACAAAGCAGTGGGAGCTAAATCACATTTTGGCCTTGAAATCCGTGCTGGGGTTTTGCAGCGTGGCCAGTTAACAGACCTCTGAGATTTATTCTGCTGGAAATGCAGAACTCTGTGAAAACTCGCCCTGAGTTCCCTGCTGTATGGTATGGGTGAATGGGCTTGCATTAAGCACCTTTCACAGCCCCCCGTGGTCTCCTGGCTGTTGGTGTAAAGCACAACCCAGCAGCCTGACTTGATGACAGGGGAAAACTGATGTATTGGTGAATGTTCCAGTGGCATCAGTCCAGAGCCTTCCTTTAGTGGCTTTAAATGTAGTTCCCAAAGCAAATGAGTAGGAAGGGCAGGGGACTGTAGTGGGTGAGAGAGAGAGATTAGGATTCTGGACAAAAAATGGTTTTTATATCATCTAAAGTACAAGCTTATTTATCGCTGCTGCCCTATTCAGGAATCCTCTGGGCTGCTGAAGATTAAGAAAGGATACTTGGTTCAGCTTCCCACTGAGCAAAGCTTCACCAAGTGTCCTCAGAGAGACCTGCTCAGTGGTGCTAGGGTTACTAAATGGGCCATCACCATCCTTCCCATGGCCATGGCAAGGTCCAAGCAGCAGAGGGGCTGGGCTGTGCAGAAATCCATTTACATTCAGCCCTAAATATCCCAAGTCACTGTAAAGAGAGAAGCCCCAAAGGAAAGGCAGCTGGAAAACTGCATAAACTGGACAGAAGTCCAGGGTTTTCCTTTCACCCCCATGTTCTTTTCCCTGATGCTCCTCAGATAGGCATTTTTAACCCTCCCTTTGCAACCTAGGGTGTCCCCCAGACATCAGATGGGCACTTCTCACTGCAGTTTCTCAGTCTGTTGCTGCAAGGAAGTGGTGTAGCTTTGTCTGGCTGCAGCTAAATGGCCAGTGCCAGTTTCACATCTCCTACAGGCAGGGAGTGAGTAGGACGGGCCCTGTGGAGGGGAAGAGGTGGCTCTGCCAGGCTCTGGTGGTCTGTGCATGGGTGCTTGCCTCATCTGGCACCCCTCACCTTGGGAGCCAGGGTGTCCCAATGTGGGACAAGCAATCTAGGAAGTCTCTGATCTTCTTGAAATGACAAACAAGCTGAAGAAGACAAACATTGGCACATTTAGCAGCACGTGCCTTCAGGCATTGCATCTTAGCCAGAGCAATATGGGGAGCAAGGGGGGCAGGCAAGGAGGGTATTCCCTAGAAGAGCTGGAGGTCTCCCAGCCTGGATCTGTCTAGCCATCCCAGCTCTGCTAAACAGGCACCTCCTCTATCAGCCTCGGGTCCTCCCTGCCATCTGCTCAATAAACTGCAAGTGTTAACGGCTTTGCCAACATGCCAGCCTTCCCACTGGGACTTTTAATACCTGATGGCCACCTCTCTGTAGACCCCATAGTGCACTTTGAGGCTTATGTCCTGCTCATGCTATTTTCTAGCTGTGCAAGAAAGTGTAAATAGACAGGCTCAGGTTTTCAGAGCAGCTGACAAGATTCCACTTTTCACTGCTGTCCTATCACAATGGGAAGTATTTGCCCATGTATCTGGAAAACATGTGATTCAGTTGGCATAACTTTGCAAGCTACCATGTAAGAGATGTCCCTTTACAGAAGATTTAATGGAAGAGTGAAATAAAGCTGCACTTGCCTGAGTTTATCACAAGGCAGGAGCACCAGCCTGGCCCCTTAGTGCTGATACTCAGTAACTTCCTAAAAGGACCACGTTAATGAAGTGGATTTGAGCTACTAGATCTTCTCAGCATAATTGCCAGCAAGACTGAGACCAGAGGATACTCTTGTGGCTGCAGACACTGCCCCATGAACCCAGAGGGGATGGCAGGAGACATTTGCAGCTTCAAATTTTCCTCTGTGGTCTGAAACACAAGACCAAGATGGTCAATTCAAAAGGTTAAATCTTCTCCCACCCACGCCCGTTGGGATTGATTTGCACTGACATAAGGACAAACCACATGTGGTTCTTGGGCTGCAAGCAGGAATCCTGGTCTGACTTCAGTCTCCAGCTTCAGTGGAATTTAGGAATAAAATAGAACATAAACAGGATTTTAAATATTCTTTTCATTTTAAAACATCCTGTGTTTGCACTGGCAATGGGAACATGTGACCCTTGGACACGAGGCCATTCATTCAGAAGCAGGTGCCTAAGAGCCAAGACCTAAATGCTTGTGAGCTCCGTGGCTGCCCAGGGCTGGATTCTGGTCTGTACCACCTGGTTCCGGTTGTAGAAAAGCCAGAGCTGCAGGAAACAGGCAAAGTTACTAAATTCATACTTGCACATTAAATTCAATACTTGCCTACATCTGCACACATGGGTGTGCTTATACACACAGGGTCCCCAGCAGCAGTTCCAGCAGGAGGCTGCAGTGACACAAACACAGAGAGAACATGGAATGTTCTAGAATGGCACTGAGCAGATTGGCAGCAGGTCCTTGCTTTGAACCCAACGTGGCTCCAGTGATTTCAAGAAGAGGAGAAATAGCAAAGGCTGGTTAGGAGCTACAGCTGAAAACTAAACCCAGAGCTGGACACACTCAAGGGAATGGACACAAAGGTTCCCACCATGTCCACAGAGCTCAGACAGAACCAAGGGCTCTGAGGGACACACTCCTCTTCTCGCCTGCATCAGACTAACTCAAGAACTGTCTCTACTGAGACAGCAAAGTTACACAGATGTGAAGGGAGAATGAACAGGAGACTAAAGGTCTGATGCTGGAAATATGCTTCAGCACCTCCTAAAACATTGATGATAGTTAGGAAGCCTTGCTAACTGAGGCCATCTGCAGCAGGGCTCCCTCCATGCTCACATCTGCACTGCTGGCAGAGCCAAGTGAGGATGAGGCTAATGAGAGAGGCATCTTGATATCATATGTCAGGGCAAATTGATGGATACTTGCAAGAATTCCACAAAAAACAGAGGTCAGTGTGTGCTGTTTGTTTTTGAAATCAAGTTCGTAGCAACAGAGTTCCCAGGTTTCACGGGAGTTCACTTGGAGATCTTGAGCTCCTCTGAAATCAAGACTCCAGTAAGTGTGGAAGTCCAAGGAGAAAAACAAAGGAAAGGATTCCATTCTTTAGAGGCAGAAGTTTCTGAGGTTGGTTCATCCCTGGTAAAGTTGAGCAGAGGACTCACAAAGATGAAGATAAAAGAAAAAGACCAGATAAAGATGGAGATGACTTATGAAGTCTCTCATTGCCTTGTAAGGCAAAAATAGAAAAGCACATGATGAGACAGAAAAATGATACTTTTAAATGAGAAAAAGTATGTGTTTTTGTACAAAAGATGTGCTCATGTGGAAGTGATGGCAGAGGGCACTGGCAGGAGCTCAGCCAGCAACAAAGATGATTAACAAAATAAGAACCAGATGTAAATCTGTGCAGTGAAGTCATGAACTGATACAGACAGCTGGAAATAATATCTGAAAGGGGTAAACTGCCGTTGTTCAAGGGGTTTATAGATTAGTTTTCTAAGCTATTCCACTGCTGAATAAATCATTCCAGAAATATGAACACACAGTGACTATGAAAAGGATAAATTATCAAGTGTTAAGACAGGTCAGGGTAGTAACTGCTTCATAGGCAAGGTTGGAGAGAACACCACTGTTCCCCTCTCTTCCACCCTCTAGGCTTCTGCTCCAATGCAACCTCACATGTACTGGGACATGTTGTTTGGTGAGAAGACAACTTCACATTTGTTTCAAAGACACAAATGCAAGATGACTCCAAAAGCAAAATGTCAGTCAGTGCTCATGCTGCAGAGCATCTGAGCAGGGGAGCTCCCACCCCACCTCACCTGCGCTCAGTTAAACATGCCTGTGGAATGTTCCACATCCCTGGAAGCAGGTTGGCAGCTGTATGAAGCAGGAAGGCTAACCAAAATCCTTTTCAGTCTGGGGGTGGCCTTCTCTCCTAGGAGGGCACGGGGCAGGACTGGTGGAGCTGCCATGAACTCCTGTTCCTTTCAGGGCAAGCGGATCGTCAGCGAGAAGCGCAGCGAGAGCTTCCCCGGCCCGGGCAGGGCGCCTGACCTGGGGGAGGAAGGGACAGAGCAGCTGGTGGCTTTCCGAAGGGGGAGGAGGATGCAGATTGCCATCACCATGGACAACAAGGAAAAAGTAAGTGCACTGCAAATGGCTGGACTGCAACGGGCACCCACGGGTGGTGTGGGCACCAGCAGGGCCATGGGGGCAGGTCAGGAGTGAGCCCAGGAACAGGACACTGGGAGAGGCTCTGTATTAACAGTGAGGAGCCTATCACCCCAAAGCTCTCTGGCTTCCATCACTGGGGAAGAGGAAAGGCCACAATACTTTCCCTTCTCTGTGACCCCAGCTAGAGCTAGCAGGCTCTGAAACATACTGGGTCCAGAAGACATACCAGATTGTTCTGGGAGGATCCATGGAAGCCCTGCCAGATACAGGGCATGAATCTCCCTCTGGCTCTTCCCAGCTTCTTGTTGGGGCCACACAGCAGAGCCAGGAGCACGGTCCACTTGTCTCACTGCACAACTTAAAAGGTAACAGAGCTGGACAAGATCTGCTTCTGCCTGGCCATAACCTACTGGGTGAGCTGGCTCAACTTGGTTAATCTTTGAAACATATTTCAAATACTTCTTTGCAAATACCTTCCTCTTTACACACACCGAGGCATGTGATATTTTCCTGTTTGAGAGTTAGCACAGATAAGTAAGAATGCCTGCAGCAAACAGGGTCAGCAAAGACTGTGAAGGAAAACAGTGTAGCTGCCAAACACACCCAGGACCGCTGGGACACCTATGCAGGACCCTCTTTGGGACAGCAGCCATCCATCTGCTAACTGCCCACATTCATCTTCAGTTTCTCCTCCTCCCCAGAATTTACCTGGGCTGAGAGCCCATTTGCTCCTTTCTCATGGATACCAGGCAATTTTTTGGATGCCATAAACCTCACAAAAGCTGCCTGGTTGAGCCACCAGTAACTCTCCATTCACCAGAGGTTTGCATGGCAGGGGTCACCCATTTCAGTCTAGGCACCACAAACACACCCAAGACATGATGGTAAGATGAGACCTGGCCATGCCTGTGCTGTAACTCTCCTTGAGGCTGCCAGTGTCATTCTGAGATTGCAGGGCAAGGATGTCCACTTCTGCTCTTGCTGGGCTTGTTGAAACACTGATGGCTGAGCCCTTCAAGGCTAGGGCTGTGCTAGGAGAGAGCAGCAGCAAGAGTGCCTAGGTTTTGGCTTCAGAACCTGAGTTTAAGCGCACAGACAGCCCTGGGAAGACAATATCTCATGTGCTTTTATTAGGGAACATGAAATTGGAGGCTGAGGGTCCATGTGGTGGACCTTGCTCATGTTGGCTCCAAAGCAGTTAGCTTCAGAGTGTGCATGAGGGTAGCCCTGGTCTGACCTGCCTGCACCTTCTTACATGAGCCACTGAAGAGCTGATGCTTTAGTTGCAGGCTGGCAAAGAGGCCCTTATGCCTCACAGATTTGATTTTGGTGATTCAGCAGAAGTTGGTGTCTTGGGTCTTGTTCCTGCTACTTTCAGCTCCCCCTGCAGTATGATTCCTTTCAATTCATTCCCAGGGAATGCCATTACCTCCATGTGGCAGTGCAAGGAGCTCACATAACTCTGTCAACCTGCCTTTCCCCACTTGTACACAGCCACCCTGGTCTCCTTCTCACAGCCTGGGCTAGAAGGTAATCCTGATAATCCCCAGGAATGCAAACAACTCTGTGCTGCTCCTCCTCAGATACCAAAGCTCATTTCAAGTTTTCCCCCTCAATCCAAATGTGTGGCTCAGCTGGCAGAGGGTGGGGCTGAGACCCAGGCACCCTCCTGGCAGCAGCAGGCTGTGCTGGAGGCCTGTGGGGTGCTGGGTGCTCAGGGCCACAGGGCTGAAGGACAGAAGGACTGTGCAGATCCATTTGTTGCCTTCACACCTTGGCTGAACAAGGGGAGAGTCTCTGTCAGGAGCACAGGAGAGCCACAGAGGCTTCATGTAACTCCTGCTATCAAGCAACACTATGGAGGAGCAGTATGTGCCCTCAACTCTACTTAAGACTGGGGGGAAAGATGAGTTTTGCTTGGTCCCCTGATCCTCTGCCTGTCTGGATATCCTGGCTGAGCAGCAATCTTGACTAATGTTGCTGGCAAGACCTGTTTAGTGACAGCACCATGCTTCTTGCTGGCACAGAAAAACTGTCTCCTGCTTCCAGTTGCTGAGCCTTGAAGCAGGTCTCCCCCAGCCTCTGGGGAGCTCTCAGGGAGCAGGATGGGGGCTTGCTGCTCCCTGGAAGGCAGGGTGCTCTCCAGAACCTTTTCCCTCCCAAACTGCCCAGGAGGCAGGGAGCAAGCAGAGAGGCAGCAGCTTGGTAGCTGGGGAGTGGCAGGGCTGGTGAGCACCTCCCTGAGCTTATTGGAAACATGGGCTTTTGTGCAAGGTTGGACAATGGGCTTTCATAGGAGTGTTTGTTCTTTTAAGTCTTTTTGTAATTTAGAAAAAAACAAACCTATGTTTTTGAAACTCTAGTTTCTAATACCTGTTACCAGCTGGATATGTTTCAGAGTCCAGCTGAGCCCAGGAGATTTCCTTGTTCCCAGTGATTTCCCTAGACTGCTCAGGCCATTTCCACCCCTAGTTAGTGAGGGTATCTTCATATTGTCATTTTAATGTGTAACTTCAGACAGCAGCTACAACAGCCAGGACAACAATCAGCTCTCAGCACACAGGCACCTCACAACATGACAAAAGGATGTGGCTGTAAGAAAGTTTAATGGTTGGATCTCATGGTCACCTCTGGAAGCTGCTTTCTCTCATCCACACCAGGTCAGCCTTTTCCCAGGATCAGTGACAGAAGCAGATGGGGCCTGAAGTGACAGGGCACATTGGCATGTCACACATTGTGCCAGCTTGGCCTGGGTGAGTCAAGGGAGGTTTGGTCTGGCCCACCCTGTCACTTCAGCTGTTCTTCAGCTGTGTTTTATACAAGTGTTTCTTTTTACTGGTAGTGATAGTCCTTGGAAAATTGAAACCAGGCAAGTCTGTCTCACATGCTGTGCCTTAGAGCCATGTGTTTCTCCAGGAGGCACTGGAACACTGCCCTGCAGAGAGCACTTCAGAGTTAGTGATACCAGAGTGTCTAAAACCTCTGTTAAATAATCTTGGCCTGAAGAGCTCAGCAGGTGCCAGAGGGGTGTTGAATGCAGCAGTTCTGTTCTCCCACCCAAGCAGGGGTTTAGCCAGCCAGCTGTGGTGACAAGTCTGTGTGATGCTGAGGGTTGCAGCACTTCAGGAAAGCTGGTCAACAGGGAACCAGCTGGAAAACAGGAAACCAGCTGGTAAATAGGGAAATTGTTACCCGATTACTCCATTTCTGTGTCCTGGGAAGCAGTGCGTGGATCATTCCCTGTTCACTTTCCCAAAGCATAAATGATTCAATCGACCCACATCTCCCTTCAGCTATCTATTCTGCAGGCCTGAGAGGCTGACCCTGTGCAGACGTGTCTGGTGAGGAAGTAGTTCTATAGTTTTGATCACTCTTGTTGCCCTCCTTTGTGTCTGTGTTATTCTTACTATATTATTTTAATACAAAAGGACCAGACCTGTGCATGGTACTCAGGCTGTGGGGTATTGTAGCCATACTCAAAGACATAACAATGTTTCTGGCTTGTTCTCTATTCTTTTCCTAGCAACTTCACATTTTCTTTGCTTTTTTTTTCTAAATAATTGATGTAACATTTTCAGAGAACTAGTCACAATAGCACCGAAAATTTCATTCCTGAGTGTTAATCATAGTTCAGGCTTCATTACTGTGTGTGTATATGTAAGAAGGGGCATTTTTCTCCATGTGAGTTATTTTCTATTATCAATATTGAATTTCATCAGTAATTTTATGATGCAGGCATTCAATGTCAAGAGATCTTTTGCAGCTCTTTGCTGGCAAATTACATTCTTTGCCCTGGATGATTTAGTGTCATCAGCAAACTGTCATCTCTATTCAGCTCCTTTTCCAGACCATTTATGAGCATGTTGAGCAGCACATGTTCCAGTGACACACCCCTGCTCATCTTCTACCATGGAAACTGGCACTTTCTTGCCACATTTTGTTTTCTATCCTTTAATTAGTTGTTATTCCAAAAGAGAAACTTCATTTTCATCCCCAAATTGATCAGCTACTGGCAGAGCCTGATGGGGTATCAGTGTTGTCATCTGAGTAGCTGTGTGTTAGGACCTGAGCTGCCACCCCAACTGGAGGATTAGCTTTTAGCCCCCTTATTGCCCCAGCACAGTCCATCCTTTGGGGTTTTTCCCCTCATGCCCCAGGTGGTTCCCTACTCATCCCAGGTTATTTGAGGGGATCACATCCATCACCCTGCCTTTCAGTCACATCCAATGGCTTGGCCACTGTCAGATTTGCCTCCTCCTCTCTACACTTGCCAGATTTATCCTATTAAAACATTTGATGGCCATCCTCATTATCCCACATTTTTCTCTGGCTCATAATGTTGAAATTCATAAAGAATTTCAACAAAAAGAAACAAAACCTCTCCCATTCTTGCTGCCCTGGGTGCTTCTGGCTGCTGCCACGGGCCGTCCCAGCCTGCAAGGCAGCTGGCAGCACTCAGCTGTGCCAGAGAGGAAATGCAAGACAAAGCAAGCTGTTCTCTTTATTTCCTTTTCCAAAACAGCCCAAGTGCCTTATATTACCCTGACATCTTGAAGCCTGATTTTTTTCTACCCACTGAAAGCCTCTCCCTGTTGGCATGGAGGGCTGGGAGGACCAAATTGTCTCCTTGCAGAAGGAATTAGCCTGAGCACGTCGCTCTGCTGGTGCAACTTCACAGCCTCCAGCCCTGCTGCTCCCTTGGAACTGCCACATCTGGGACCTTTCTTCCCACCTCTGCCTGACAGCCCCTAAATCTGCAAGTAGGGCTGGGGTTAATGCCTAATGTTTAGCACCATTTTTCCTATAAAAGCACTTCTTGCTCTGGCAGCATTTCAGGGTCGTTAATACATTAGAGCTGCAAGCCAGCAGCCCAGGACCAGTGGAGCACAATGGTTAATTAGCAGGTTACAAATCATCTTTTAAATGGACAGTTGATAGGGCTTCAGGGCTTTTAAATTGTCCTTTTATTAACAGACTTTCCCAGGATTGCAGATCAGAAATGAGTGCTTGTAATCAAGAGACAGAAGAGCTGCTTTCAGTGACGTAGCCAGATGAGTTTGACTCTGGTGCTTGCATGGGAGAGGAACCAAACCTGTGGCAGGAGAAACACTTGGTTTTACAATAGAGACAGAAAGGGTGGTTGAAAAGTCTTGATCTCCCTTCAGGCAGCACAGTTAGCAGGCACATTTTTCAAAAGAGTCAGAAAAAATATCCTCTCACACACTAGTTTCCAAGGTCATGCCCAGTGGGGGATCCAAGCACTGGAAAGCAGCTCTGAGCTCTCACAAAGGTCTCCTCCAGCAGAAGAAATGCCACTGCTGGTGCTGACACGTGCCTAGAGAAGTGGGAACCCAAAGGTTAATTTAACTCATCTGTTGGTACTTAGTTTTGCAATAAGAAGACAGTGAAGTAGCCCAGAGACACTGAAGCCTGTCAAAGCTTTTGGTCTGGAGAACTGTTAGTACAAAACGATGCTTAACAGGGCTGGGTGGTGGCATCAGCACCTTCACCCTTGTGCAGTAACTGTGGCTGGGAGAGGTCAGACAAGCTCAGGCTGAGAAAGCATTTGGGATCCCAGGGCTGTGTCCTGGTTAGGAACAGACTCTGCCCTCTCCTGGCCCAGACCATCCTGTGGCTGAGAGACTGAGAACTCCTTGCATAAATCTCAGGATAAACAACCATCCTCTTCTCTGTCTCCTTCAGGTTTTTGTTCCTCCCGTGCAGCTCTTCCCCTGCTGTGCAGGAACAATTAAACTAGGAGCTGTTAAGGTCATTGTCATATTTCATCATTTGGGGGGCGGAGAGGAGGAAGGAGGAGAAAAACATGTTTTGCTTCCCCACGACCTGGGTGTGTCAGAACAGAGGAACAGCAGCTCCTGGGGGGGGGCAGAACTAGATTTTTGTGGTCCTCTCTGTCTTCCGCGGGGACCCTTTTGAGACGCAAAAAAATAGAAGCAGCCTCAGGAAAAAGGCAAGCCTGGCTGCGAGCGAGGGCTGCGAAGGGCCGGGGCTGTAGGGAAGGGTTTGGGGAGCGCCCTGGGGAGCTGGTGCCCGCGGGGTGCGGGGTGCGGGGTGCCGGCCGTGTCCCGCCCGCTGCTGCGCGGCCCCTCAGCCGCGCTGTCCCCGCTCATTTCCTGGGCACCGCCTGGCTCTCCGCTGCCCCTGGGGCTGAAGCCGAGCCGTGCCGGGCGAGAAACAACCCCCCGCAGCTGCACGGCCCCCGGCCCCGCCGGCTTTCCGGTCCCTGCCTTTGGGGACACAATCGGGCGTTGTAAAGGAGCCAAACCCAAATCAGGCTTTGCATGAGCTTGCCTGAGAAATATGCAGGCTCGGATGAAGCAACAAGCACACCCGTGCAGCTCCCTGCCTCAGTTTCCCTATAAATTCTGGGTGTTTCTGGCGTGGCTGAGGTGGTCAGTGCTCCTCATCTCCTCCCACCCAAGGTTTCCCCCGGGGACCGAGGGGCTGCAGCTCTTCTGCAGCAGCTGGCTCCTTCCTACTCTGTATGAAACGGTGAGTTTCTTTTCCAGCTGCTTTAGAGACCAAACATCCCTCTGTGCTGTGCTCCTCAGCCAGCCTGGGGGGAGGGTTTTTTTGTTACAGAATATTTGCTGCAACCTTTTGAAATAAATACCCGGTACCATCTTTCACCTGCTGCAGGACAGGCCAGGATATGGTAAGGGGTGGCTCCTCTGAGCACAGACCCCTCTGGATTTTTCCCAAATTTTAGCTGAACAATCCTAGGACAATATAGTTAACATGTTTCCCATTATTTCCAATAATATGTTTATACAAGCTTCCCTTGTACTAGAGCCACACCAGCTTCACACCAGTGAAGCTGTCATGCCTGGAGTGCATGTCCATGAGCACTGGCTGCATGGTCACACTTCTGACCTGCCTTGGATTTAGCAGGTGAAGAAGCCCCAGAGACTGCCCACAGCTCCTTCCCTGTGTGATCCCACCAGGAACAGGCTGCAGTGGGGATGAGCTGCCTTAGGAGGCTGGGCAGAGCCAGCCAGGACTGAGACTGATCCCTAGTTTCAGGTATCCAGCTGGGCTAGGCTGGGGCTTGGCAAATGACTGGAATACAAGTCCTGTTTGCAGCCTGGGTTGGCCCTCATGGACTTGCTGCTTTCTGGAACAGCTGACCTGGCAGTTTGTACTGCCACTTTGCTCTTTGTGTTCCAGTTTTGTCTGGCACTGCAGAACAGCAGCACGATAATCTCAGCCCCACACGCTGCCCAGCCCTGTAACTGAGCAGCAGGGATCCCCAGCTGGATGCCCCAACTCCTGGGGGCTGCAGGGAGCTGAGGCCTTTCCACTCATGGCAGCCCCAGCTAATGAGGGGCTAATTTTCCCCTCCTGCCAGGCAGGGAGATATGAGCCCTAGAGCAGAGCTTGCCAGGCTGGTGGCAGCAGGGCTGACCCCAGGGGATGCAGGGATGGACCCCAGGGGAAGGGCTCTGTGCTTGACAGAGACAAAAGTCACTCCCAGCTTTACCATGGTGGCTTTTAGCTGCATCTTGTGTGGGCTCCCAGCTCTCACACTGTTGAATTATAAGCTGGGTTTGAAAAGATACCTTGGTCTGTCTTGGAAAGAAATAGGACCATACAGGACACCTCTCTGGCTTGGGAGGAGGAGGGGCCTATGGGAATGCATCCCTTTTTGTTGCTTTTCTCATGCATTCCTTACTTTCTGACTTCTCTTTTTCTACATTGGTTTGATTCAGGGCCCCAGAAACCAATCTTTATTCTTTTGCTGACCTTTTCTGGGCAGTTCTTACATGTCCTGGTGGGCACAGGGTCAGGCACAAAGTCCTCTGCCAGGAGTCCTTGTTTAATCCTTGAAACAGTTCCTGTGTGTGCTCTTGCAGGCAGAGGAGAGGAGAACAACAGAGAAGAGGAGATCAGACAGTGACAAAGGCCCAGAAACTGAGCACAGCAGGAAGGTGAGTGGGACCCCACGTCCCTTGGGGGCTACCCTTGCCTTGGAAGAAGAAACCACAAGGATATGCCTCCCCACCACTAAGAGTTGCCTCCATCCTAAAGGAAGCAGCAATATGCTCTGGTGTGGTCCCTGTTCATCCCTCTCAGTGTCCAAAGCTCTGCTGAGCAGCCAACACACCTGAAGCAAAGCAGTGCAGGGAAGAGGTGAGAGGGGACCTGCCCTGCACACCCTTGCTGTGGCTGCTCACGTCCCCAGCACAGCAGCAGGGATGTTGGGAAAGGTACAATGAGCTCACCCATGTGGCAGGACAGCCTTTGCTGGTTTCTCTCCCAAACCCATTAATCTGTGGGTTGAAAGGCTCAGGCCATATTACCTCCAGCTCCTCTCTTCAGCAGAAGCTGGGTAGGATGGAGGTAAATTGAAGCACAGACCTTCCCACTGACTGTTTAATGCAAACCCTGGAGGACATGCTGGTCCTCCTGAGCCTGCAGATGCTCTTAATTAATGGAGCACAAATTGAATAGACCCACCTCAGTGTGGTTCATTAGGAGGACACAGATGGGCTCTTATAAATTCATTCCAGCTGAGTCCCCCAGAGCAAAAAAGGGGAACACAGCCACATTGCAGCTGAGGTGAAACCCTGGTCAGGGACCAGCTCCCCCTGCCCTGTAGGCCCCATCACCACCTCTTCATCTACCCACGAGAGAACACAGACACCAGCCATGGTCTTCCCTCACTTTTGGCTTCCCCTTTGCTAAGGGGCAAGGTAACAGGGCACTTCCCTTTCCTCCAGCCCTGGAGGCTGAGCCCTGCTCTCACCAGCTGGGTGCTGCTCAGCCCTCCTGTGCTTCTCCTCCATGGGCACGTGGGGCTGGGAGCTGTGTGGGGCATCTCCAGGCCTGTGCCCCTGTCCAGGGACCAGTGCCCGCCCTTGCTTTGCCCTGCTGTGCCTTGCCTTTCTGCAGCCCCCATCTTCCTCTGGGGGGTGCAGCCTTGGGCCCCCCAGCTCCTGCCTGCTAATGAATGGAGGAGCAATTACTGCCACCCCATCTCCAGCCCACGCGCCGGGTCTCCTTGGTAACACAGCTTTCCTTCCCTCCCTCCCTGCTGCTCTGCTTTTAGCAGCAGTGCCAGGCTGAGGAGGTAATTCCTGTGTGGGGAAGGGGTGATGGTGACTGGTGTGCAAGGGCACGTGTACAGAGAGATGCATTACCCACTGGTAATGAGCACCCCAGGTTGCAGCTCTGCCCTAGGCTCTTTGCTGCTTGACAACACAGCCTGGCCAGTTGGCTCCTGTTTCTACCATGTGCATTAACCTCACAGCTGGGTTATCCACCTCTCCCTCCTCATGTGCTCTGTCAGCCCTGAACTATATTTTCATTAAGCTTTACATTTTTGAGCAGTGACAGCTCTGAACTGGTCTGTCGTGAGGAGCAGTGATGAACCAAGGGGCTCAAAGCAATGAAAGTGGAAGGCCCCTTGTCTCCAATGATGCTGCTCTTGGCACCTGCAGTACTGTGTGCCCTGGGCACAGAGTTGGCCCCAGCCCTGCTGTGGTCTCCTGGGGATGCCTGGGGGCCAGAGAAGGCTGCCTTCCTTCCTGTCAGCGTGAGGGATCTCATAGGCATAATTTTGATTTTAGTGTCCCAAAGCCCAGGGCACCTTCCGTGAGAGTTCCACCTGTCAAACTCTGTTGGGAGATGCTGCAATTACTTCAAGAACTAACTACATGTTTTAAGTAAACCTTAGCAAAGTGTCTCTTCCAGGAAAAACTGAGAATGTTTGGTTTTAAAACCTTCAGGTGAGCAGGAGCACAGCAGGTGAAAGCCACTGTCTGATTTATGCTTGCAGTTAAAAGTGTCTGCAAAGAGAAATGCGGCAAATCAATCCCGTGGCCATTTGCACACAGAGTGACAGGGGCAGGCTGCGAACGTTTGTGATCAGGTTCTGGATATTTAGGATGAAAAGCTCCATCTTATGACAGCTGCTTCCCAGACCAGGAGGCTGGATATGGCTACAAGCACCAAAGAAACCTTGTGGCTCAGGGCAGGGGAACAGCAGTGAAGGCCCAGCTCATCGAGGCAAGAGGAGTGTATCCAGATGGAAAATCCAGGGGCTGGGTGGAAGCCATTTTAGCCCTTGGGAACGGAACACAGTTCACATGGCCTGGGTGCAGTGCAGCACCTCCTCAGAAACACCCGGCCACAAATCATTCTCCTTGTTGAATATCCCTGGTGGGGAATGGCTGCTTGTTCTTTGGCTCTGGATTTACAACGAGGCTCCAAGCAAACCATGTAACTGCTTCCTGCCTCGGTTTCCCTCTCTGTAAAGGCAGCCAGTCCTGGGAACAGTGTGTTCAGGCTGTGGGTAAAGCAGAGCCCTCGTGCGGGTCCCTTTGCAGAGCTCACCTTGTTCTCCAACACTGCGCGGGGTCTCTGGCGGGGCAGCTCTTGCGGGCGTGTGTGTTGACACAAAGCTCTTCTCCCTCCACCAGGAGGGCGGGAAGTCAGGCCAGAAGAGCCCTGGAGAGCTGAGTTTCCCCCTGAGCGGCCGGGAGCGCTCGGAGTACATCCGCTGGAAGAGGGAGCGGGAGCAGATCGACCTGGAGCGACTGGCCCGGCACAAGAACGCGAAGGGCGAGTGGCGACGGGCTTGGGACGTGGAGAAGTCAGAGCACATGTAGGTCCTCCTCAGCCCTGGGGTGGCTTGCCTGCAGCAGGACATCTAAAGCCAGTGATGAGCTCTTGTGCAGATACTTACTCCTGATCAGATCCCTGGCTGTCACGTGCCTCTCCCCGAGCAAAGCCACACTGCTGTCTCTTTCTCCTCCTGACCTGGTCTGTCAGTGGGACCAGATATCAGAGTGATTCTCCTACTTTCTTTCTGACATGGGGTCCCCTACCCTGGTTGGAGGTGCTGTGTGCTGACAAAGGGTGTCTGCCTTTGATCCCACTGGGATCAGACTGCAGGAAGGAGGGGAGCACGAATCAACACTCATTCTCTATCTGGAGGGTCCTCTCCGCCTCCACATGGACAAATCTAGCAGCAGGAGGGTGCAGGTGCTCTTCTAGAAGCAGGGATGGACAAACTCATGTTGCTAGTCCACAGGTTTTCTCACAGCCCTGCTGGTTTCTCCTTTTCAACTACGGGACAGGCCAACATACCCAAATCCTCCAGCCCTCCCAACCTGAGCCCGTTCTGGCCCTGCCGTGTGAGGGGATCACATCAAAGGGCTGCCTGTGTGATGGGGGAAATGCTGGGACAGCCATGAGAGAGCTCTTCATGGGCCTGACACTTCTCTGCTGCAAACACTGTCCCTCTCACTGTTCTTGTTCAACTGGGTCACACCACAGGAAGCTTTGGAGGATGACTTAGCACCTGCAGCAGGACAAGGTTTTGGTAGGGTGTGGAGTTAGGAAATGTTACAGGGGCTTGCTGAGAGAAGAGTTTGTACAGGGCAGAGAGATGGGGCAAGATTTTAGCTGAGGAATGGGACCAAATACGTGGATTTTCAGTCACTGAGATCCCAGTAATTAGAGGTGAATTTACTTCAGTGGGTGCTGAGTGTTGCTGGCAAGACAGCTCTGAGCCCTATTGTTCTCCAGTGTATTAATTTTTTAAAAGAAAAGCAATAATACAAATGAAGCAGGATTAGAAACCAACCAAATTAGTCTGATCTGAGATGTCAAGTCCTGAGGCTGCTTCAGATTGTGTTTAGAAGCTTGGGAAGCTGCACAGTTACACTACAGCCTGCTGTAGGCTTCACGGATGGTCATAGAATTAAATACATATGGGCACTGATGGTTTTAGAGGTTCTCCTTTGGGGTAGAATTGCCTCCCAGCCTCATTTCTCCTGGTTGGTGCATGCAGTCTCAGCTCCTGCTGATGCACCAGCCCATGTTTGCCAGGGGCAGGTGCAGAAGGGCTGGAGCCCATATTGTCCCTAGGTCTCCTGCCCACGCTTTGCACACTGGGGGAGAATGGTCAGGTCTGACAATGCCTGTTTTTAACCTGCAGGTTTGAAGAGGACTTTGTTAAGGATGGGGAGCCAGCCTTGGATAATCCCAGCAATAAGAAAGGTTGGCAAGGGACACCTAGACTCTGTCCTGACGCTAGTGAACGCTGATCGTGCGACTCCCAGTGCCACAGCAGCTGTCCTGGCTGGCACTTGTGAGACTCTGCTTTCCTGGGAAAGCTGTGACCGCAGCAGGGGGGCTCAGCCCTCTCTGCTTTGCAGAATGCTCAGGGGATGGGATTTGAGCTTCTGGGTGCTAGTGCTTTTTACCTTCCCAGGGAGAACAGTGGCTTCTGGAACCTTGTCCGACACGACACGGAGGCTGAGCCCTGCCTCCTTTCCAGGCACTGGCTTGAGAGGCAATCCCAGAGCACCTCGCCTCTGAGCCCGGGGGCACCTGCTGCTTCTTTACTAGCCCAAGTCCATCATGACTCCTGTACCTCAGGAGATGGGTTTGGCAGAACCAAGCTTTCCCTTGTGACACCCTATTTGAACATCAGGCTTTCTGCTGAGTGTCCAGTACAGAACCTTGCTCACTTCTGTGCATGCTTTGCTCTGTCCTTTCAGGGGGAAGAAACGCAAGGAAATTCCAGCCCAGGTCCTTTCCTCCCGAGGGGAGAGGTGAGTAAACCTCCTGGGGAGAGCTCCCTCCAGACACCTGCAGATCTGGAGAGCCTTTTGGGGTCACAGCATGTGGCTGCTCTCATAGCTCCCTGGAACAGTTTGTGCTGTGTGGCAGGGGAGAACAAGTCTTCCAAGAACAGCACAAGGGAGACGGTATCCAAGGAGTAAGATTTAAAGTTATGATTGGAATTTGGAATAAAAAAAAACGCAGCAGAAATATCCCTAAATTCTCAATTTGTATGTATTACTTTGGAAAGTATAGATACAGCTTCAGAGGCTTCCCCCTCCAGAGGTATTTTACAGTGACCCCAGGATGTTGGCCCCTTCAGTGGTGCATCAGGAGGTTCTGCCTGCTCCTTCATGGCCTTTCCAACCTGTCTTTCAGGTGGGCAGCACGGAGTGAACGTGAGCGACGCCGGCTCGAAGGCAGTGCCTGCAGTGAGCAGCAGAGCCAAGGGCAAGGACAGGCTGACGGGCAGAGCCAGGAGGTGAGTAGGCCAGCAGCAGTGCTGCCAGCTGCTGCTTGGCATCTGCATGTCCAGGGCTCATTCCTTCTCGGGTTGTGAAGAGGGACAGACAAAAAGGGACGTTGTTCCACAAGGGCAGCTGTTTGGAGGAGTTCACGCTGGCTGGGACCGTGGCTGGCAGGACTTCGCTGGTGGGGTCTGTGGTACTTGTGGGGTGCTGACCCTCTGCAGAGCAGCCCAGGGAGCAGGGTTCTCTGTGGCCAGATTTGGGTAGCACTGCCACATGCCCCAGCAAACTTTTGAATCCCTCTTACCAGGCTTCACCAGGCACTGCTTATGTGGAGGAGCTCTCCAAAGATAGTTCCCAACTGAACCAATAGTAATCAGGATTGATAGTGTGGTACCGGTGTCTTTTCTTCCTAATCAACTCTTGCTCAAGATCCCCAGCCTGGTGAGGAGGGCAGGGGCTCCTGCCAGCTGTGGGCAGCACACAGCCATGCAGTGATGGGCACAGGGGCAGTTTCAGAATCTCAGCACAGCTCCCTGCATTTTACAGGTTCGCCCACATCCTCCTGGAGCCCCTCCCCTGCTGCTCTCCCTAATTACATTTCAGCACAGCTTCCTGGAGCCACACTGACAGTTTAATAACAGTCATCATCTTCTCAGCACTGCTGTGCCCTTCAGTGGGCATCCAATGGATGAAGACTTGATTACATACCCCAAGCCCCTTCATTTCTCCAGAATACACAACCATTCCAGGAGCTTTTCCTGTTAGCATTCCTCAGCCTCCCAGGGCAGTCAGGAGTGTGGAGCTGAGCAGATCCAGGAGCAGATTTGTGCTCCATGGGGCAGTGACAGCATCACCCAGAGGACATCAGCTGGCTGGGGGGCAGCTGCTGCTGCTGTGAGCTGGCTGAGTTGGGGAGCACTGGGCAGGGTCTGAGTGTGCAGGGCTCTGCTGTGTCAGGACAGGTCTAATATGCACCTCCTGGCACCATGTTAAGCCTGGAGACTCTTCAGTATTGCTTTTGTTCCCAGTGGCTGTGCTCTGGGGACATGCACCCGAGCAGCCAGAACTCTCAGCTAGGTGGGGACTTGAAATCTACTTAGAGCAGAAAGATGGGTTCTCTTCTGTCTTTCTAAGCCCAGTTCCTTAATCATACTTTAAAAAATTAAATTTAATTATGAGGAACTGATGACAAATAGGACAAACAGCATGCAAATAATCAAGTTAGCTTTGTCTGCAAGTTACATTCCACCCTTTCCTATTCTTCAGCTCCATCCCAAATGAACTGTACTTGGGAAAGAAAAGCTGATGAGCTGTGCTCATGCTCTTCCTCCCCCGGCCACTGGCTGCAGCACTGGGGAATTATAGCAGTTCCAGAGGATTTGTAAGATGGGCATGCCTAGAGGTTTGCTTTATGTTATTGCCTTCCGCAAATACCTTAGGACCACAGGCTGAATGTGGCTGTTCAAAGCTGTGAAAGCTGTGGTGAGTACACACAGCTTTGGCCCACCTGAAGGTCCCAACCCATGAGGGCAAAACTGAACTCCCAGACCTCAACAGCAGCCCTCAGGAGTCAGCAGAGGTTCTGCTGGTTCTGCTCCTGAGGTTTGCCACTGAAATTGGGTTATTTGTGATAATCAAAAGAGGATGAGGAACTGTCCAGAGAGAGAGGCAGAAATAATATCTAAAAAGTGACAAGCTGCAGAGCAGAGAGGGAGTCATTAAAAACAGAGATAGGGAGGTGGGCAGAAGGAGAAAAGAATGAAGTTGAAGTGACAGGCTACAAGGCAGTGAGGGAAGAGCTAAAAAATGGGGACAGGGAGGTGGACAGAGAGAGACATAGAAAGAATATGTGTGTGCAGGAATTACTTCAGCAGCTGCACTGGAGAAGAGAATCAGAAGGGAAAAAAAATATATCCAGGTGGTATAGATATAAGAAGGTAAAGCACAGGTGGCTGTTGGCCTGGCACTGCCACCCCAACACGGGTGGTAAGATTTTTAACAGCCACACAGGAGCTGACTTTAGGTCATCATCCTTTCTAAAATGCAGTATTTATCCTGGAATGCAGCTTTCCTAAGATCCCACAGCAGGCTGGGGCTATACTGGATTCAAGAGGAAGGCTACAGCTGCAGCCTTGCCCTTTGTGCTTCCCTCTGAGCTGCCCTGGAGCTGTTATTATTAGTTGTCTAGGTCTCCTCCGAGCTAATCAGAGAACAGGGGTTCCTTTAGACTTTGATCCACCTGTTTCATTAAACCACAGCTCCAGAGCCATCCCCTCTGCTCTGAGGAGGGCTCACAGCAGGGTTTACTGCTGCAGAGCAGATTGTGTCTCATTGCTGGAGAGATGCTCAGTGCTCCCAAGGGCTGCAAGAAATTGCACAGAACAAGCGGCTCATGGTTCTGTCAGTGCTTGCTGGGAGTGTGAGTTACACCCACTGCAAGGATCATTTTCGTCCTCTCTCTCCCCTTCCTGCTGGAGCCTTTTCTTTCCCTGCACTTCAAGGCTGTGCCCAGAGTGCTGGGCTGTTGCTAAGCCCTACAGAGCTGCTCCAAGGCTTCACCCTTGGGCTTATTGAGGCCACCATACCCAGCTCCACACCCCCAGAGCCTCGAGGTGCTTGCAAATGCAATTCCCTTCTGCCCCGAGAGCTTTGCCAGGTAAAAAGACAGTGGAGCAGCTTAGTGTAGGGGAGGTGCAGCCTGTGGTGGCAATTCCCACACAACTTTCACAGGGCACGTGGGGTCACTCTGACACATTTGCCTCTGGAAATGCCTGACCCTGCAGTCACCTCCATATGCATTTCCATTTTCTGTATCTTGTCCCAGACTTGCCAAATGCAGAGGCCAGTGAGCCCAGCAGTCTGTCTGGAGCAGAACTAAGTCTCAAACATTTGCACTTGGTGTGTTTTAAGTGTACGGGGCAGGGAGAATACGTGTGTGTTCTAGAGATGTGTGCATGTACACACGTTTTTGTGTGTGTGAGGTAACTCAGCAGGCACACAGATGAGAAGGTAAGGGTTACTAAGACCCCTCCCTGCCCAGCAGCACTGCATGGGCAAATTCAGATTTATATTCACTCTAACAAATTCAAACAAGCAAAGGAAAGCAGTTCCTCACGGGGTTTAACTCAGCTGTGACCCTCCTTGGCACAGGATGTTGTAGCAGCTGCAAATTTATTATGGGGTCAAAATGCACTTACACAAATCCTTGGAAGAGACTGTCTGCTAAGCATGACTCAACAGAGTGATACCATCTCAGGAACTCTCAGAGCACATTCCTGGAAGCTGGGCAGGGCACTGGGGGTAAAAGGCATTTTCCCTCTTTCCAAACTCTACCCCTAAGCATCTGCTAGTGGTGCTGAGAGGGCAGCAGAGCCTGGGCTGGCTGGACCTTCAGTCTGAGCCTCCCAGCCATTCCTGCAGGCTGCTTGCACGTGTCCATGGCTCCAATCTCCCAGGCTACTCCAAAGCAATTTTATCCTTCACTGTCTGCTGTTGTGGGGGTCTGGAACAGTTGGGCACTGTCAGGCAGGCAGGACAAGGCTTTGGCAGACATCAGGACAAGCAACCTGTGTATCTTATTAGCCTAACGACAGAGGCCTGTGCTGGCAATTGGATTTTATGTTTTCATTACATTTAGAATTATAACAACCCGTTCATTAAGATTTTGTGGTCTCAGATGAGTGGCTCTGGATGGGCTGAGTGTTTTGCAGGTGCCAGGAGGAACTGGACCAGCTATGTCTGGTTCCACCTTTATCTCTGGTTGCCTGGTCAGGGGGCTGAGGCAGGGCCTGCATGGTCCTGGGCAGGAATCCCTACCCAGGAGTCAGGCAGGGACAGAGGCTTTGCCACATGAGACTCTGAAGGCCTGAATTCTGATTTGTCTTTCCTGACAGATGGGATGCAAAAGAAGGCGATGACATGTCTTTTCTGAAGGATGATGTTGATGGCCAGGTGAGTCCATCAGTCCAGGCTGGCTGCTGAGTTTCCTCAGCACATGCCCTGTCAGGAGAGCTGGAGGCTTTGAGCCAGAGCAGAGCTGGGAGACCTGTCTTGGGGCACACGTACCCCTCGACAGCACTGCCCAGATGGCATGATGTGAGAGACCCTCTGTCCTGCATTGACCCTCTGTCAGCACAACCCCACTTAGCTCTGATCTCTGACCACTTCTCCACCTACATCCTTTTAATTCTTTGACTGGCCTTCCCAACATTTTCCCCAAGTTTTGGGAACTATCACAGACAAGAAATAGCATATATCAATGTTTTAATAAGCTGAACTAAATATCTTCTCCTTTTCTCAGAGGAGCCTTGGTATGGACAAGCAGAAAAGCAGAGGTGAGGAGGGGGTGGAAGAGAATTGCACAGCTGAGCTGGAGGAAAAGGTGAAACAGCCAAGCCCCCAAGATCATGGAGCCTCCTCATCACAAAAGCTGAGGAATGGAAAGGTCCACTCTGCCCACAGCGGCCAGAAGGAGGAGCAGGGAGGAGTGAAGGGCTTCAGCACAGAGGTGTCTGTGACCAGCCCAGGGGACTCAGAGCCAGGGCACAAGCCAAGCAAGGAAGGCATTGGGGAAGGTGCCAATGGGAAGCCTGGCACTGCTGACACCTCTCAGGAGGAGGAGAGCACTTCCAGCATTGCTCCACAGAGCAACCTACCAGACACTGTGCAAGCCACCAGGCATGGCAGTGAGGAGACCTTGTCACTGCCCACGGGAGCAGCAGATGGAGCTGGCTTAGAGAAAAACACAGCTTCAGAGCAGGAGTCCAGTGAGGACTCTTCCAGTGGCCACGGAGGAAAGCTGGTGACAGCAGAGGGAGACAGGCTGGATGCAGGTCAAGGACAGCTGGTGACAAAAAGAGGGGAGGAAGTGACCCAAGACACTGCCCTTGAGGGGCAAACAGTTGCACTGAAAGGAGGTGAAGATGCTGAAGACACTGAACACAGAGGAGAGCCTTTGCCCCCAGGGAAAGCCACCTCTGACAAGACTGTTGTGCCTGAGCAGAACACAGTGAAACCACAGTCCAGGGAAGGGGACCAGCCTGAAGATTGCAAGGACAAGGACAGTGGGAACACTCTCAACTAGCAAAGATTGCACCAGTTGCCTGAGACAGAAGGTGAGTTCTTGACCCACCTCCCCATGGTGTGTTTGCTATCCCACTTACACTAAGTTGTAGGGCAGATCCACAGCTCCATTTTCTGTGGCCCTGACAGCATTATCCCAGATAACTGTCCAGAAGTGTTAATGAACAGTGCTGTGGATCCCTCAGGCAGCCTAAATCTGTGCATCACAAAGACCTGCCCTGGAGTGGCAAGTCAGACAGGAGAATTTGGACAGAAAACTGGGCTGCTGAGTCTGATTGATGGGGTTAGTTAAGGCACAAACTGAAACTCTTCCCCAGAAGGGATAACCTCAGAAAGGAGAGCAGGATTAATTTCTTTCTGTCTCTGGGGTGATCACGACTAGAATAACCTGAGGTCAGTGTGGTCCCTTTCCCAAAGCACTTGCACAGTTCCCAAGGCCCACCTGGTGGGCAGTGGTTTGAAGGAGGTTATTGCACCTGGGATTCCCTTCCCTGTACAAGGTCTGTGAATGCTACACATTGGGTTGTACATGTGGTAACACTAACATGCCAGGCAGTGTGCAAACACAACAGGTGAGATGGCTCTTGTTGGAAAGGCCTGTGAACCAAACAGAAAGGAGGAAGAACAGATCTGGGTACGTAGGTGTTACTCAAGCAAAGCAGTTTCTCCCAGAAGGGCAGATGCAGAAAAGCCAGGAGAAAGAACAGAGTATGACAGCCAGAAAATAAGGTAGAAATCAGGAGGATGGGGCAGCGAAAGAGAGTAGGGCCTCCTTGGCAGTTACCTTTGTAAGACATGTTGTTGGCAGGCAATGCCAGCACAGGTCAGGATGTGACAGCCCAGGCCAGGGTGTCATTCTGCCACCAAGTCAAGCAGGAAGTTTGTGATTCACTCCCCCCACCTCAGGCTGAGCACAGAGGCACCTGACGTCAGATCTGGGCTTTGTTTCTCTTCAAAGGAGAGACATGAGCACTTCCAGAACTCAACCCAGCTTGCTTAACACCTGACTTGCCCTCAGGATACTCCTGCCTCTACCCTTGGCAGCAGCCACATCCACAGTGAGCCCTTGGGGCACTGAGCTGCCCAAAGCTAGGCAGGCAGGTCACTCCCACCAAGCACCTCTCCCCCCTTCCAGCAGGCCCCGACCCAGCAGCTTGTCCCTGGGTGTTGCTTAGAATTCATCCCAGAGGCACAAATGAGCTTAGGGATGAAGTGGTTAAGCTGCTAACAAAAAGACTTGCACTATAATCCCACTCTATACAAAAGGCTTGGAGAAGCACAAGCCTTCCAGCTCTTTGAAAAAGACAAAACACCAAGAACCAGCTGGTTCTGTGCTTGAACTGAAATCCCTTTGAGTGGGGGAAATTAATTCCAACAGCACTTAGGACACCTGGATGCACATGGAGGGAGTTTAATGTCCAGGCCATGCCTCTCCAATCTTCCAAGTATTCCCCCAAATGCAGAGGAATTAAAGTTATCCTGAATGAGAAAATGAGTGACACCAGCTAAGAGGGAACAATGAATTACAGTTGTCCATTGTCATCTCAGCTCTGCAGATCCCTATGGTTTGGTGATAGTGCCCTGAGTCCACTTGAGCACAGCTCTTTACTCCATCACTCCTCACTGAATTCATCAGGGCAAGCTTAATTACACAGAGAGCCCCAGGTCTTGGAGAAGAGAATGTGACTTCACTTGTTTGCATATAGGGGGTCTCATGTCTGCTTGGCTGAGCTGGAACTTCAGTATTTCTCAATGAAAAGATTTATTGCATGGGAAACACCAAGTATAATGATGCTGGGGAAAATGAGGGGTTAACTGGTATCCCAGTTGCTCTCCACCATTTCATCCTGCCTGCCTTCCCATCTCCATCTCCTTCCCACCTGCACTGCTCAGCTTTCCATGCCCCAGGTCAGCTCCTCGCTTTCCTCTCTTTCCCAGCGGTTCCCAGGTGTCCCTGAACTACACACTCAGCATCAGATGCCACCTTTTGATGCAGACACATTAAAGCAAGCTGCTTCCCTCTTCTGATACTCCCTGTAATTCAGGAGATGCCTCAGGTTTCAGGGGAGCCCTGAGCAGAACGTGGACAGCAGCTCATCTGGGGTGTCCCCTTTAGCGGAAGCGTTAGGACCACAGGCACAGGCAGAGCTACATCAAACCTTGCACCAAGAGAGTGCATTTGCATTCTTTTTACTCCTTAGAACAATCACTAATTCACAACAAAGACACAAGGACTTGTCCTCTCTGTGTGCTCTGTGATTGTCTCATCTGAAGGTTTCTTTCTCCTGCAGCCATGGGTGTTCTGGCTGGCAGGGCACCCCGGGAAGGTGTCTGGATGGGCCAGAGCAACAGGTTCTGTGTCCTCCAGCTCAGCAATGGGCTTCTCTTGGTTGGGGTTTTTTTTCATTCCATCAACTGCAAGAGCATTTAGGGAATGAGTGCTGCTTGGCTCTTTCATGATGCTGTAGGGCATCATTGTTACCTCCTATCCACTGAAGTCACCACAAAACAATTTAACCTCTCCCTTTGCACCAGTGATAGGCCACTGTCAGGGTTGGCTTTCCCAAACAAGTTCATTTGCAGACAGGGTAAATTCTGCCATGATTTATTTGTAGTGGGGAGAAGAGCCAAGAGGAAGACAGAGGGTCCTGCCTGCTCTCTGTGTCCCATTTGTCATCCCTTGGCTGACACAAACACGCAGGGTTTCTGTAGCACTCACTCAGCACAACCCCAACCTTCCTCTGTGTGGCCTGGCAGCAGGGCTCCCAGGAGCAACAAAACAGCAACAACAGCCACAAAAGAAGCAAATGCTCATTTGGCTCAAGCTGGTTAAGCTGTCAGTGTTTGGAGTGAAAAGGCCTCGTGCCAAAAAAAGTTGCTTTGAAGTCCCCAGATCAACATGACAGGCTCCATAATGACAGATGGCAGTCAGAAATAACCACTGGCTGGTAACAGGCCCTTCCCTGCTCCCTTGGTTCCTGTTCCCTAGCACTCCACAGACACCCTGGTTAAGGCCATGGTATATAAAAAGCTGCCAAGCTCTACTTCATTTTCATGTAACTCTCCCCAACGTGTTATATCACAGCAATTCTTTGGAATCAGATCCTGCAGGATTGCCCCTGTCTGAGGTGTGTTTGAATCCTTGGCAGGTTTTTCTGTTTGATTTTTTGGAGGCTGGTGCCTGCAGCTGGCTCCAGACCAGGCTTCAGGGCAAGGATTGCCCATGGAGCATCCCATAGGACACCTGGGCTTGGCTCGTTGCATATGGCCTACAGAGGGAGTCACTAGGTGTGTCATCCTTGAGGGAAACATCACCACCTCTGCTGGAGTCCCTCCTGAACATGACCACATGTGGCAGGGCAAGGATTCTACCTTTTTCAGCCTGTCTAATGAACAGTGCAGCATTATCAGGCAGAGCTGGGTTTGACAACAGCCAGGAAGAGAGAGAGCATCATTCAGGAGGCTGGAAGAACTAGAAGATCAAGCATAAAACCAAGAGCTGCATCTTTTCTCTTAGTATGCAAAATTAGAAGTTTATTTATTCCTTTTTGTGCAGCAG